TCTACCAGTCCAAGCCTTTCCCCAGAGGCTGTTCAGGAACAGTCGCCTTTATCAGCTTAGAAGGGTAACCACTACACAACCCTTCTTGTGGCTTATCTTTCTAGCTACTCATTTGGGCTATCAAGTGCAAATGGCCAATCCCAAGGTTATTTTTTTCTCTCAAGATGAAGAGATACTCTATTGAAAGAATCTGTTGCCTCCATTTCAGGTTTCTGTGAGCCACAAACAAGATAGAAACCTTTTAAATGCCCAGCCGAGTCCAGCCCCAAGACCTTTGTCCAGCCAGATCCACAGTCAGGTGACTGTCTTCTCTTATGGCCAATGATACTTTGCTTTTCTTCTCCTAATGAAGCTGTAGCCTTGCCAGTGGCTCATTTCCGTCAGGAATTTTATTCTAAACCAAGCTTTCCTGCTCACGTGTGTTCCATGAGAAACCCCTTGACCAATGGCATCAGGATGCTAGGCGCCTCCTGGGCACGTGCTGACCTTCCAGAGCAGAGCCAGGCTTCCATCCCTGCACTGATATTTTTTTCCCCTCAAACATTCGCCTCTGCTTGCTAGTCATCCTTTGGGTGGTTTTCCCAGTAGGCTCTGGCTGCTGCCTTTGAGAGTCTTCCAGCTTTTACCATTGGTTTTATTTTAAATTCTTTCTACATCTTTCTTACTTCTGCTAGCACTCTGATCATTTTTTTCCCTTGTGATTTTACATAAATAAATATTTACAGTTACTGTTATTAGAAACACCATCCACCTGACATCTCTGCTGTCTGTTTTGGCAATATTTCAGGTTCCTGCAGGTTGTTTCATTAGAGAAAAAAAACCCACAACCCTGATGATGGGGTCAGATATTCCTTTTACAGACAGGCAGCCTGGATGCCGACTCCCCCAATGTCAGGAATCACCACCTGTTTTTGTATTTTCTCTCTCCCACTTTTTCTCTCGCGAATGCACAATGCCCTGTTGCCCAGGTGCAGCAAGGCAAGGGGTACCAGCGTCCCCTCCCTGTGCTGCCAAGCCAAGGCTGTCACTCTGCACAGCTCCTGTTCCAAACCCGCCTTCCCCTTCTCTGCAGCCCTTACTGCTCCAGCAGTGTCAGTCCACAAGGAAGCTGAACTGTTTTCTGAAGTTACCCCACATGAGGTCTGGTTGCAGATTAATACTCCGCCTTCCCGATTCAAAGAGGCTGTGCCACCCAGCCAGTGAGATGTGATGTTCATTTTCTTTGGGAAAATAACGGGGAAAAGGTAAAGAAATCATGAAGAACACTACCAGTAGTGCTCAGATGTTACCATCCCATTTCATTCCTTTAAATTCATTAACCTTAATCATTTCATAGCACTGTGTATCAATACTGATCGTAGGAGAAAATTCAATCAAGGGATACATTTGTGGCATGCGTAAAAGGCGGTTTGGGTCAGAAGAAGCATTGAGATACTGTTCTTCAACTGTTGCTGGTAATTTAAATACTTTCCCATCGCTCTGCAAAACCTGAGAAACCTTTGGCCTGGATGAGTAGAAAAAGAGAGGAAAAGGAATGAGGGGGAGAGGAAGAGAGTCTTTCTACTACCTGAATTTGGAAGGTGGCTTCCTTCAGGCCGATTCTTACAAGATGCAGATGGATTCCTGTAACCCTACTAAAAAAGAGTATAAAATTCACACCTAGTTTTCACTACATGAGTGTAACCTCCTCAAGCGCACAGTGCAGGAACCTCAGTAGAGCAGAGCTCTGAAAAATAGTTATAGAGGACACCTGGTCCGGCACTCCGGCAGGGGAATTGGACTAGATGATCCTTTGAGGTCCCTTCCAGCCCCTAATGTTCTGTGATTCTGTGATAACCACAGTGGTGTAAGGGTGGGATATGCCAGGTTACCCCGAAAAAGAAACCTGCTGCCTCCAGGAGGGTTGAGCTACGCACCCATGGGATCTTCACTGCCATGTGAAACCACAGCCACATGCTTGAACGTGTTGTAATATTATTCCCTGAAGCATTTCCTTCAGAAATTATGCATCAGCACCAGGAGACTCAACTCTCTGGAGTTGACATGACATTCAAAATACTTCCAGAAACAACAATGGGCAGTTGCTTGAGGCTGATGGGATTGTAAGGTGGAGTTGGCAGCAAAACAGACAGAGATCCAGATTATTCTTCTTTCCCCAATTACAAACACTTTCCTTCCCTCTACCGACTGTTTATCTCTGCATAGCAACAGAGCAAAAATAAAAAGGTTTAGAGGTTACAAAGCAGTAACTAGAAGGCAGAGATGTGTGAGGACAGAAATAAAAGCACTTTTAGCCCAGAATTTTTCAGAACTACCTGGAAAACACCCAAACGTATTTTCCCAACTATAGGAAAGACAAGCTGTTGCTTAAGAACATCCTCACTGTTAAATGTGATTAGTTTTAGAACTTGCAAGTAGGGTGCTGAAATCCATTCTTTAAATGTGAAATTACATCTCGGTGCCAGATACAAATAATTGACTCAGCTGACAGTCACCGAACATTTGAGAAACCACTAGAATAACCAAAAATTCAAATGGAAGTAATTCACCTTCTGTACCCACTGTGAGATTTCTACCAGAAAATATGAACTTTTTGATTTTTTCCTTAAAGAGATGTTTCTTAAAATGCAGATGCAATTAAAGCACTAAAAGAATTTTTATTATGTCATTTTTCATACCAAATAGCCCTGATTAGCAAGTAATAATGGTACACAGGTATGTAACAGCTCCTCAAAGTATGGGTGTTAATCCAGCCCTGTGGTTGTGGTATCATGACTGAATAATCCACCAGACATCCTTTTTTTTCCCCCATAATATCAAGTAATCATTTATGATACACTTGTGATAAAAGCCTTGCTAAGAGCTTGCTGGGTGGAAAGGCGATTTTCAGTGGCTTGCCCAGAAGCACACGGTGTGGGGGTTTACTGTGCAGCAGTGCGTGGAGCAGTGATTTGCCCAAACTGCCACACTGGGAACCACGTATCCTGATGGGGTTCACACTTTCTCCAAGCCTGAAACCATCAGCTGTCGGCCTGCGGGGATGGAGGAGGAAGGGGCTGCTGTCGGCTGCAGCCTCTGCCTGGGGACCCCAGGGCCGTGCTATGGAAAACATTCTACTACAAAGGGCAGAGTCTGGCATTTTCCTTCATATTCTACCATGTTTTCAGCAGAGATAAGTCCTACTTCTTCTAAGGGGAAAGTTATTTGTTGAACTGTTATTTTTTTCAGAGGACAGTTTAAATGGCTCCTCTAGACACACAAGTGTGTGCCACAGGAGAAAGGCCAGGCCACACAGGTAAGGGAAATGTGAAATTCTTGTTTGTCTGGGTGGCATCTGCAAGTGTCAAATAAATGCAGAGCTCTTCAAAACAATTGTTGAGGTCTAATAACTTACATGTTGTTGCAAAGCAATTTAGAATGTATCAGAGAAAATAAATCTTGATAATTCCTGTACCTCAGCATTAACTAATCTCAATATCATGGAAAAAGCATACTCAGTTGAACAGAAATGATAACAAACGTAAATGCTTTTTAGCGCCCTACAGAGCTTAGTAGAAAAAATTACTAGTTCCTAAAGGTTTGAAAGAATGGATTAAATTGTCTTTCAAAGGATGTACTTCTTCGAATACTAGGCTTCTCTAGATGTTATCTTAAAAGTTATCTGAAATGACTGTGGAGCTGTAACGGCTGCGTTATTAAATGCTATAAGGCTTTTCCCCAAAGGATATCTGCATTACTCTTGTGGCCCTCAGAATCTTATTATTTGAGTATCTTTAAATGAATGGACTGTTCAAATCATTGGGAGTGAAATACAGTGTACTACTAGCTCTGCACATTTTAAAAGATTTTTAAAAATCTCTTAGAAGAAACCATGCACTGTTACTGTTATTTAGTGCAGAAACCTATCATCTCCTACAAGCTACCCTCCTAATCACCGTTCCCTTGTAAGCGCCTTGAATGTAAACTGTGGCTCTGCAGTCATTAGAGACATTAGAGAGAGAGAGAGAAAGGCTGAGTGTCTTTAGATTCACGTCTAAAGTTGATTTTATGCACAGTCTTAAAATGTGCACCCTTTTGGTCACTGTCTTCATGTGACAGACACAGGGAGGATCTGTAGGTATAGCTGACCTTGACCTACAAATCTCAGTTGAACCATCTCAACTTTGACACTGAAGGAATCCAGGATGTTAGTTAGAAGCATCTCTATTGACAGATACAGAATAACAGACAGGAGGTGGGAGACAGCAATTTGCCATAAACAAGTGAAAGTCCCTCAAAGGAGAGAGAGAGTCAGAGCTCACATCACCTTTCCCCTTCCTTTGCACAGAACACGGCTAAAGGAAAGTCTCGTTGATCAAACCGTAGAATCTATGAAGTGGGATTTCCAGTGCCCTGGCTCAGCTGACAACTAATTTGTTTTGCCTTTGCCTAGCAGGGATTTTCCGTGCCGTGGACTCTTGTTTGCTATGTAAGTCATGCGAGTATTTGTTAGTGTCATAGCCAGAGCCAGATGATGTTTATTCTGCTAACATCCAGTCGGACTCTGGCAGCGCTCATTGAGGTCAGGGCTTTATTTATAGAAGCAGATATACATTGAGATTCATTTTCTTTCCCTCGCTGTAATCTACCTAAGCTCATCCAAAATAAAAAGAAACATGCAGACATGCAAGTAATATACTAATTGGGCCAGATCCATGAATTAGCACAACACCACAGAAGCCAATGGAAAAAAAGCATTTCAGAGCAGCTGAGGATCCTGTCTATTATTTCTCCCCGGGAAGAGAAGGGAGGGGTTTAAAACCAGAAATAATAAAAGCAAAAACAACTAAGCAACAAAAATGTGGCAGAACAGGTCTGCAATGCAAAATTCCTCTACCGAGACCTGCAATGGAAGTATTATTGGTTTTGATCCTGTGTTCACAATCACTGGAAAGTGCAGGAATCAGAGTGCAGAGGAGAGCTCCAAGCAAGGGAAAGTAACAAGACTTAAAGCAATTTACCTGCTGAAACTGAGAAGACATTGTCAACGTACGCGGTCTGAGACAGAGCAAAGCAGAAGAAAAGCTGCAGGTAAGATCCCCGGACAAGCGGGCTCAGGACCAACATGCTGGCTGTGCCCTGGCAGACGCCAGCTCAGAGACGCAGGGCTGCTTTGGGGATCTCTGTCTCTCTCTCTCTCTCTCTCCGTCTCGCTCCCTCTCTGCCTTGCCTGCTCTCTGCCTCTTCCCTCGCTGTGGGATGCGTGTATGTGTCTGTGTGTGTACGTCTCTCTCTCCCCCCCCCCCCCCCCCCCCTCCCTCCCTGTGCCTTTAGGAAGAAAGAATGCCAACCATTTCCCATTAAATCTTCTCCTTACACTAGACACGGTTATATTTAACTCCTGCGCTGGATCAGTTGCCCCTATGGTGGACATTAGCTGCTAAAACTGGGGCACGGGGGATTCTGGTTTTGCTAACAGAAGCAAAAATGCACTTTGGATCATAATAACGATGAGCAGGAAAGGGAGAAATTATGGACTGGACTATAAACAGCAGCCTTTGGTGCAGGCAACCAGACACCAACGTCGAGATGGACAAAATCCTTGATCAATCATCTTCTACAGGTCACTAATTGCTTTAATGAGAGAGATGAGCAGTGACCTAACATCTGCTTATCGCTGATAGTTACAAGCGTTGCATTTGCCCACAGAGCACAGCTCAGGCTGAGGGATGCCACGAAGGCTTCACAAACCGCAGAGCAGATTATTATTTAGTATTTAAGTGAAAACGCCAGTATCGCTGATAGCGCCAGACTTCGTAGGACCACAGAGTTTACTGACAGGGTGCAACAGGTGGAAGAAACAATACGTGTGCCATGACAGGGCGAGTGAAACGCTATCAGCTCAGGGGGTGGTGGTGGTCAACACACCACACAGCGCTGCGCCAAGAAAACAAACCTCTGCCTCTCTGAAAAGCAGCGTGTGCCCTTGTTACCTGTACGAAAGCTTGATGTTTCTGTGCCTTATTCCAACTGGCAGGGCTTTGCAAATAAATTTCTGTCCGATAAGTAACTAGCACAGGGATCTTCCTTCCTGCCTAGAATCCAACAGTGGTTTCCATGAAAAGCAGAGGTACTCCTTCAGCATGAAAACCGTCATTACATCCTCTCTTCCAGATGGAGATTATTTTCTTTGCCCACTGTTTATTATTTCTTCCGAGACAAACATGGAAATCTTCTGGGGTAATTACAGAACTGATTTTTTTTTTCATTTGAGAGAAGTACTTATCGACGGAGATGATGACAAGCGCCCCAGGCATTAACTCCTACTGCGTACACCACTAAAGGGCAAAGTAATGTATTTCTGCAACTCTAGTTAAAAAGCCTTGACTGTTCTTTTCAAGACATTGCAAACATATTAACAAAATCTTTCTAAATGTAATGGTTTGACAGGGACAATCATATCTTCCTTACATATTTCTATCCTTAAAAGATATCCTTAATATAAACATAAGGCTTTCTAAAATTTCCTTCGAGTACTGCAACACTTTGGATAACTGAATTTATTTTTTAACTTAATCTACCTTATTCCCCTGTCTGTTGCTTTTTAGCATCTGTCTGGTTTTAGTGAGGACAGTAGTTTGGCCTCTTTCTTCTTTGACCAAGACGACCACAGATAAGGTGCCATTAGCTCTCTTGGCATGCTGCATCTCAGAGAGAAAGGCACAGTTCCTGTGAAGTTTATCATGACAAGCCCTAAGTTTGTCATACAAATATCCAGCTGTCTGATTATAAAGGTAAGCAGTGGACAATCCCCACATTAGAAGCCTGCATGGCTGCTGGAAAAAATTGTTCAAAAGGTAAAAAGTCAAGATGTTAGCAAAAGATTCACCTCTGAAAACATCTGGCCAACTCAATAGTTAGTCAAAGCAATGATTGAGTAATTTCAAATCCTCCTTAAATACTCCTTTAGTCTTTTAGCAATAGAAAATTTGGTAGAAATTTGTAGTACAAAATATGTTCTAGTTGATAAAGAAATGAATTAATCCAATAATATTGAGAAGAACGAAGATCATGTAGTAGGACCCATATCTTTCCCCTCCTCTACCACCCCCTTACCAATTTCAGTTCTTGGTTCTTCGGCCTAGAACAGAAGTGCATGTTCAGGTAAAAATGCAACAACATCTTCCTTGAAGAATATGGCAAGGAATACTATAATAAACCACATCCATCCTCTGATCTGCTCTAAAGAAGACATAAACAAGGAACACACCTTTTCCTTACAAGAGTGAGTGCTATATTGGAGGCAGCCAGAAGTGATACAGAAAGCCAGGGCTGCTTCAAAGTTAAAAAAACCAAACACGTATAGTTAGCTTTGCAGTCAATTCTTGGGTAGAGATTTTTTATCCACTTTTTTCCAGTGGAGAACCCTGATTAAAAATGGATGTTTTGTCAACATTCTCCTTTCTTTTGACACAGCATCTCCATCACTCTGAAGTCTGAGCCTGTTTGATCTGAACTGGCTCTCAACCACTGTGAGAGGAAAGCTCTGTAGGCAAACACTCTGCTGTGGAAAACACGTCGTCTTCCACAAAGGACTCAAAAGGAGACGTTTGGACTTACATTTGATGACACCTCCAGTAGTTAATCAACTTGTTAGTTTTTAGTGGGATCACCATTAGGTCAATACAAAGGAGAGCTTTCATCACAAGGCAGGAAACCCGGCCACGTCAAGGTGTAAGCACTCATTTTTGTTTCCTCTAATTTTAAGGCATTGGCCTTGTCCACTGAAACTGCTGGCAAGGTTGCTAAAGGTTTCAGCGGGAGAAGAATGAAGTCCATTGGAAATAAAATGGACAACAGCTGTGGGCTTTTTGCTTTTGACTTAGTCAGATGACAACTCCACGCTAGCCGGTGCTCCACAGTATGACAAGGACGTTTATCTGCTCACACGGCTTGTTTCTGACCCCGGTGGCATTGGTGCATGTGATAGAGACAATCCTGAGGAAAGGAAGCGTCACGTGGCACAGTCTTACACAGTGCGAGAAAATTGACAGACGTGTCCTTTCCAGGCCCATGAGCTACGCCTCACGTGTGAACTTGCTCAGGCAAGCAGTGCGTTCCTCCAGCTATTCCCATGGGCTCATGAAGCTAACGGAAAGCTTCTGCACCCTTCAGAGAGCTCTGCGCCAGGTAGTTAAAGCCAGCGCTCTGGGAGAAGTGATAAGTCTTTGCCTCTATAAACCAGACAGCAAACAATAACAAAAGGATTTTTTTTTCCTTTCTTCTGTATTCACTGCAGCTGCTGTTGCTGGTGTAGTGAAAACTCACATTAATATGATGTAATGGTGCAACCACTGGAGAAGATCCCATAAAAGTTTGAGAATAAAAATATTTTAAAAATATCTTAAAATTTTGCTATGAAATTCCAGGTTTGCTAGAAACAGAGGAAATGTTTCTTCCCACATAATTCACACTCATTTCCTACCTAGAATTGCTACTAGCATACAAGGAGTAGCATTCATTGAACGGAAATACAATGGTAGCAGGATTTCTATTTCAGATGACATCAGCTTAAGAATGAAGCACAGCAAAGTATTCACACTGCAATTTCTGAGTCTTACAAGATACTCCAATAGCCTAAGTAAGATTGAAGGGTTTTGAGGACTTGACTTTAACAAATTGTTCACAGTGAGAACCCCCGAACCCCAAATGTCACCTGCAGTTTATTGTTCAAAGACGAAGACCACAGGGAATCAACTAGTTTTAAAAAAATCATATTTTGAGTAGATGCCATAGCAACTAAAAATATCAAAAACTAACCAACACACAATGAAAAAAAACCCCACTGCACAGCTTACCTGCTCAAGTAGCTGTTGCTTGATCTTTTCAGCCTAGACCTGAACTCTGAGAGGTAAGCAGAAGAATCTGCTTATGATCCTACCATACGAATAGAATTTATGAACTTATCTTTTCTATGCAAGAATTAATGAATACTTGTTAAAAAGAAGGCTTCCGCACATCCCTATTCACTTTCGGTTGGCAGGTCCTTCATTGACAAGCCAAGGGAAAATGAATGTAGTTAAAATATCATCAATCTCAAGGTCCTGAATGAACATAGTTCTAATTAGAAGGACAAAGATAATTGAGACTTTCTAGTTCTAAAGTCTGAAAGCTCTTCTGCAGAGTGGGGCAAAGATAAAACAGCAACCCAGTGTTAATGCAATAATTCAATAACAGCTTCTGTCTGCAAAGTAGTACAGAAAAATTCTGTTCATTCAATTAGTGCAGGAGATGGAAAAGATTACTTATAATTATGTTTTCCTTGTTAGATAGTTATTTAGCAACAATTGTTTTTCACAGTAAAAATACTTGTTCAAGTTTGCACGTCTGAAGCAGTTATACCTAATGTTTAGATTTAATACTTGGACAACATAGCTAACGTTACTTTGGAAGATGGTATTGTCCACAAGTACAAAGGCAGCTGCTTTTAAGTAAAAAAAGACAGTAAGTGCAGAAAGACAACTAACAGCTTCAGCATATCCTTGCTGGTCTATTTAGATCTAATTCAGAAGCCCATAGAGGAACAGAACTGCTAACTGTGCAATGAAGTAGATTCAACCACATGAGGAAGTTCTGGCTTACTCCACAGTCCCATCCATGCCAGTCACCCATCAGGGTATCAGGTCACAGGGCAGCTGGCCAGTGCAAGGCAAGCCAGTGCTAGTAAATCTTCAGATTACCCACTGAATGAACAGGGTGAAGGGAGGACATCAATGCCTAGCAACTTCCAAAGCAATCCTTTTTGGAAATTAGCTATTTAATGGATGTTATACATTGCACAACAAGCAGTGGCCTTCTGACAGCCTCTTTTCTTCACAATCTGTATTTGCAGAAACATGAAACTGGCTAGAGAATCTGATTTATTTTTACATGTTTCAGAGGCTGTCTCCAGAGCAGTACAGCTCTCACCTCATTTTCAGAAAGGTCAACTCCAAACTCCATCTTTGCACCTTTAGACCTATTTCAAAGGCTCTGTCCTTCACTTTTTTTCCTCCTACGAGTAATCCCCATATATACATTTTTTTTCTGTTAATGATAATGGAACAAACTACAGCATAAAAGAGTTA